TGCAATTCAACAGTTCTTTTTCATATTCTTCCAACGAATTCCACTGGTCGTCCTCATCGACAAATGAATCCAACTGTGCCTTGTTCCGTTCTTCCAAAGCTTCAATCAATGAGAGCTGTTCTTGCAATCTCTCCAGCTCCGCTTCAACGCCAGTACCTTCACCTTCTACTGCGTCGGCTTGATATAGAGCGGAATTGCGTCTATAACGTGCTTTGGTTTCTCGATAGCTCGACGTCAACGGATTGGAATCTAACGTGGCTGTCTTCCGATGCCCAGTGATGGGCTCCACCATGTATATGTAGCTGCTTGTAGAGCTCAAGAGGGAAACGGGTAAGATTAACATCATATTCAATATCGCAGCAACTGTGGAAGATGGTGCTGTGGTGATTCTTGTATTCCTCATGAACCAGTACCTGGTACCATAAGGAGAAGATCCTCCATTGGAATAGTAGTCGACCCAATCAAACACTGACAACTACAGTAACTGACGTCAGCATCGGATTTGTTATATATATCTTAAGATCACCGAGAATGTGGGGATGTCAACATTGATCAATCTGCTGTTGGCTATTGAAGAATGAAAGTCCTCTCATTGCTGTGGCTGTCAACGGTATCCGCATTTACAGTACATAAAGGGTTTGCAAGCGCCAACGTCCGCAACCATGTGCAAGCGATCATATCACGACCACATACGAGAAATCATCGAATTGTCAACCCTTTGGATACCAGAGGGTCGCCCACAGTCCGTGCATTGACAATTGCTAAAGCTTCCAACGATGGAAAAATTAACGGAGTGGCTAAAGTTTCACCACCTACCCCGACTATCGTGTCCGCATTTCTCCTTCTGGCTTTGGATGTTGGATTTCGTCGACTATTCCAAAAGCTTGCAATCTCTTTTCCATCTTCGCTCGGTGGGTGTTGCGCCCTTTTCATCAGTCTCTTGACGCTACCTGGGGGAGAAAAAATGTTCAAAATTCTTAGTCCTGGTGCAGCATTGCTGGCAAAGTGGCTTCCCGTATTCTTTGTACCCAGTTTGGTGACTTTGCCTCTGGTCGGCAATGTTGGACCTATGTCTGAGGTCCGTCAAACAGTGTCAGCCTGATCTGATTTGTTTGTGATGTAATTGCCACTTACTCTTTTCTCTTTCTACTAGATTCTGAAGATTTTTGCGGTTGTCGTTGGCGGATTCTTCTTCACGCTGCTATCGACAGCTGGTTCGGTAGTTGGAATTCGCAAGATTCTTTCACCGGATGCCATTACGAATGGTGCTGACGAAGGGAGCGAGAACGCAACTTTGATAAATGAGGCTCCAAAGATACAGCCAAAGGCATTTTCAGACGAAACGACTACTGGCCTTCGCTTGGCTTCGATCGCGACGGGAGTTGCGGCAATTGCTAGCAACAGGTTGAGTTCTTCTTTCGCGACCCCAATCCGTGCATTGTTCCTTTTATCTGCTACGTTGCACAACTTTGTCTTTGGAGCGCGATTACCAAGAAGTTTCAGTAAAGTTGTACACCCCTTGGTAACTTGTACAGCACTCACTTGGGCAACAGCAACAGCATTTGCATCGGTTACTGGATCAACCTTTGTTTCCATGCTCCGTGGCTACAAGACGGGAACATTGACACCGCTGAAATGTGGAGCTGGAGATGTTCTTTTATTTTTATTGGGGCCGGCAGTTGTGTCACTCGCGATTTCCATGTACGATCGGAGAAAGTTAATGCGAGAGAACTTGACCGAGGTCGTCACTGCAATTACTGTAGGTTCTTTGGGCGGGTTATTTGGAACTGCTGCAGTGGCTCGACTGTTAAGCATTTCTAGTCCCTCTGTTCGCCTTTCACTGCTATCTAGGAACATCACCAGTCCGTTGGCCATGGCAATTGCAGGGATCCTGGGGGGAGATGTGTCACTGGCAGTTGCCATGGTTGTTGTTACCGGCTTGATTGGTGCCAACTTTGGTGCTAACATTTTGGATGCAGCCGGTATCAAGGATTCTGTTGCAAGAGGACTTGGAATTGGCACTGCCGCTCACGGCTTGGGGACCGCTGCCATTGTCAACGAAAAGGACGCCTTCCCCTTCAGTGCCATTGCCATGGCTTTGACAGCCTCGGCATGCACTTGCCTGGTTTCAATTCCAGCTCTGAAAAGACTGCTAATACAGCTAGCTCTAGGGGTATAGTATAGTTTAGTCTTAGATAAGAAACATGAAATTTATATCTACCTTATTGCACCAACTTCTTGTTGTAATTACTTTCATGGACTTTTCGATGTCGCTAGATTTTCCGTGGAAATGCTCCACACCTAATTATCTGCTCTATTTCCAAAGGAATTTGATGGATTCTTGATGGAACATGGGAAGCGAGTTTGTGACACCGGCATGGGAGAAAACGTACAGTATGCTTCTTCAAAAGCCGCGCCAATTCTGCGTGAAGAAATGATTGCTTGAAAGTCTATCGGATGCAGCAGCCAATCATATTCATGAGTCAAGGATTCACTGTGGCTGCCTTGATATCATTTACCGTTTCATTAAAAATCAAGCAATGGCTCCACTAGGACTAGAGGAAAACCAAATCGAACTTTAATTGTGTCACTTTGACTTTGTGTTATCTCAGCATTGTCGAGCCTTTGGTCTAAGACTATACAATTACCATCGCCCAATCTTCTACCCAAAGTTGAAACCAAACCCAAATTGCACATTCCGTCTTGCATCTCTGGGACCATAACGCAATGGCCAAGCATAGGTCACCTCCAGCTTTCCCATGGGTGTCGACGCTGCCACACCTGCACCAACCGAAGTTCTGGTACTATTAACAATCGCTTGCAATGGAATCCCATCCGTGGTTCCCACCAAAGTCCCAGCATTAGCAAACCCAAACATCTGGATACCATAATTGCGGAAAATACCGGGTGGCGAAGTCGAGGCAGAAACGGACGCCGTGTAATATAGACTTCCACCCAAACTATCCCCATCTGGAGAAGTGGATCCTCCCTTTTTGGTCCGTGGTCCAATTCCTGCCGGGAGGAACCCTCGAAGTTGCATAGGTCCGCCCACAAAAAATCGATCAGAAATGGTAGCTGGTTTGCAGGCACCATTGTAGGACAATGGCTTCAAGTATCCTCCCGACCATGAACCGTGTAGTGCCAATCCTTCTCCAATCTCTCCCAAAATGGGAAAATGCAATGCTGCACCTCCTTGGGCTTTTGCAAAGCCAATGTCACCAGGCGGTCCCGCCACTTCCACCTTGGTAAACCAATCCATCCCAGCCGTTGGCAATAATCTATCGTTACAAAGTTCACCATTGGTCCTCAGCTCGTACGTCAATGAGTGTTTCAGAGAGGTCCCCGAGGAAGCCACAATTTCGGGAGACGCATCCGCTGCATAGGGCAATTTGGCATGCTTGCGTGGAACAATATCGCGGAGCGCCAAAGACCAGTCCAACCCCCAATAATATCCCGGAATCATGTTTGGCCGTTGCACATTGCCCCGATTGTCAACCCGGCAAGACAAATATCTTTGATATTCCTTGTAAGAGCGAGTCCACTCGTAATCGGCCGTATCCAAGACAGCTCTCATGCACAACGAGTATTGGGATCCCTTGGGCAAGGCCAAGATATATTCTCCCAGTGCGGTATCATCTCCCAACCAGGCATACAATGGCCGTTCATGGCTCAATAAGAAGCTGGAGGTGGAGGTTTGATCGACGGTGTATTGGAACCTGGTGGAATCCAAAAATCCAGTAAGATTGGGCAGGGTCGCACTGACTTCAAATTGAGCCTTGGGTAGTTTGGTCCCATTGTTGTTGAGACCTTCTTCCAAGCCTTCATGCTTGAATCCACCACCAATATAGAAGGAATACAAATTCTTTTCGTCTAACTGTACCTCTAGTTGATGCGGATATTCTTTACTGGAGGACTCGTCTTCATTCTTGGTAACTTCCAAATGAACCGAATGAAAACATTTCGTCTTTTCAAGATTATCTACCACTTGTGCCACTCCCATTTGAATTTGAGGCAAGGACTGCGAATCTTCAAACAGTAGTCCATTTTCCAACAATCGAGCATTGATGAGATCCTTGTTCGTTTTGAGTTTTTTGGAAGGGTCTTTTGGTTTCACAGCAGCTGGAAAGAGAATATTGAGGCCGTAGCTATTGACAAATTCAGCCCATTGCATTTCTTGGCGTTGACGGGCTCGTTCTTCCATGGCTGCGTTGACTTGTTGACGAACGTCCATTGTGTTGATTGTGTGTTTGTGGATGCTGCGGCTATGATGATGATGATGATGATGATGATGATGATGATGATGATGATGATGATGATGATGATGATGATGATGATGATCGTGTTGGTAGATCTTCCAATGGATGTGTGTCTACGTGAGATCAGGAGATTACAATTCTCTTGTGGTGCAAGTATAATAGATGCTTTTGTGGTATATAGTAAAAACTGTGCGGTATTTGTTTGTCAGCCTTTCATCGTCCACCAACATAGTGGGTTGGATCCAGAGTGTTGAATGAGTGGTCGGACTACTATTTTCGGGGAAGGGAGAATGCGAAAGTCCGGGGGAATTTTTTACATTTTTATGAGAAAACAAACCTCGCCTCTTCCAGCTTCTATCTTTCACATCAAAGGGAATTTGTCAAACAGCCAACGATGGTAGCAAAATGACAACTATACGGCGATTATTCTACTTCCGCATTATAGCAAGCTCGGTGAACAATTGAAGAGCCTCGCAGTAGGTTTGAATGGCCGTGGTCTACTGGAGCAAGTAGATACTGTAGCCACCACCAGAAATGCTCCACACCGATGCTGGTGGTCGATGACTCTATTTCTGAAACTATTTCTAAACTATTTCGAAAGCTCTTTCAAATCTCTTCATGGTGCCATGCCTAGAACTTTTTTACCTAAAGATTTGGTAGATTCCGTTGTCGCTCATCCGTTCGTCTATCGGTATCAATCAGCATTCGCATGATGTAACTGGAAACCGTGATTGCACCTGAGTGTTACTGTTTCAGGTGCTCATAGAACTCGTCTAGGAGGAGTCATTCCCGTGAGCGCAATTCGGATGATGTTGATAGAATAGCGCCATACTTAATCAATCTCCTTACCTGAAGAAAAATCTCCGTACTGGTTTAGACCATGGAATCTTCCTCCGTTAGAATCGTCATACTCTAGCTGCAGCAAAAAATTCTTCTTGAATTGCTTGTACCTTACTTCGCATTCTTGTTTCTGATTATGATGTAGCCACTTTTCATACTCTTCACGAACAAAGTTGTCGTCTATCCCTATTGAGTCCATCTCGACCGATAGTTTGTCCACGAAACTATCCAGCATGTCGTCATCATCAAATTCAAGGCCATTGGAGTGGAGGGAAGTTGATACTTCTTTTCTGTATTTGCTTGTTTGAAATGCCATAGAGAATGGTAGAAGAAGAACCGCTAATATTAAAACGGAGATGTACTGGTAAACGTACTGTTTCATGTTGTTCCAACAAACTACAGTACAGTACAGTATGATACTTATTTGCTGCGGTCGATGCAAATCCAATTTTGACGCAAAATTCAAATTTTCTAATTTTTTCGCATCAGCGCAACGCGAGTTTGGAGGTTCGATGACGTCATAAAAATGACACAATTTATATATATGCAGAACTTTGGATACCAATTTCTCAAGGAATTTCGCCGACGTGGCCACAATCGCACCCACACACACATCAACGTGCAAGTTCCAAGAGAAGAAAATTTACCCACAACAATGCAACCTACTCGAGCCAATTGTTCTACGATTAGCTTCATGAGGTCCAGTCTTTCTTCTTTTTATGAGTCTCTGGACGACTACGTCCAAGCCACCTTGAAGCGGCTAGAAGAGAAGGACCCAAGCCTTTGCAAACTTCTCATTGACGACTTCCACTATCCCGAAGTTGACTTGGATGGCGATCAGTTCTTTGACAGCATTACGATTGCCAAACTTTTGCGGAAGACAATCTATTCTCCGCATGTTACGGACCTGGAAATGCGGTTTGTGGAGTTTGATGACATTGTTGCCGCGGCATTGATGGACTTGCTTAGTTCCCCTTCCAGAGAATGGGACCGTATTTCCATTGTCGGGTGTACCGGTTGCAGAGGACAATTCTTGCCTCCGTTGACATCGGCCATGAAACAATGCAAACATTTAACGCTGAATCACAACAGCATCGAAGCGGAGGGTTTTGAAAAGATTGGAGCAGCCTTGCAGTCCAATCATTCCTTGCGATCATTTCACATGAAACGTGACACATTGAATGGCAGAAATGCACTTGCACTCTTTGAGGGCCTTCAATCCAACTCTTTGCTGGAAGACGTGGTCCTCAACTTTTGCCGATTTGATGAAAAAGGCATCGATGCCCTGAGCGAGAGCTTGAAGAACAACAGAAGCATTCGAAAATTGGATCTTGGAGCCTGTTATCTTCCTGACAGATTTGTCGCGAGAGTGACTTATTCCCTTGTTGACCATCCATCGTTGACCTCCTTGGTTTTAACTTTGAATTCTTGTCACGAAAAGGGCACTATAGCATTGGCGTCCCTACTATCGTCTCCTAATTGTCGCCTTCAGCATTTGAACATGAGTCACCAAAAGGCTGGTTCGAACAAACCTTGTTTGGAAACCCTTTCTACCGTACTAAGGACAAACAAATCATTATTGAGCTTGAATCTGAGTCGGAATTCTCTGCACGGAAGCGACCTCTCTACCTTGATCCAAACCCTGCAAGAAAATTCCACCCTCGAACATTTGGACCTAACAAACAACAGTTTGGACGACAAAAGTCTGGTTGCTTTTGCTCGTGCTCTACCGTCCATGTCAGGATTGAAAAGCCTACATGTTCTAAACAATGAGATCATGGACGAGAATAATGTTGGAAGGGAAGTGTTGAAAGGTATCTCTCGGAATCACACATTGGTAGATATGGAAATCAAACGATCCTTGCCACAGTACGAGAACATTCAATACTATGTGGCCTTGAACTGGGGAGGAAGACGGGCCCTTTCAGCAGCATTTGCAAACGACGAAACTCTCCCGCCAATCCCAATGGGTCTGTGGCCGATTGTCCTCAAGCGTGCTCAGTGCAACCGGTCGGTGCCGAATAGTAGTACTCCTGCCAACAAGAACGACCACGGCAACCGAAAAGCACATGACCATCGCAGAAAGGAGCATGTGCAACACAACCACCAAGACCAGCACAAAATCCAGAGTTTCCAACACGACATAATATACCATTTGCTCCATGGGCCCGCGTTGCTATCTAGATAGCGTGCCGCCCACCGCATAATAAACAAGCCATTTTTGAATTATTTCAGTGAGCAGCTTGAGTTTGAATTCGATCCGGATTGAAGCATACATAATGTTCAATGTACTGCTCTCCACACTAGAAATAGCTAAATCTAGCACTAGCAAGCGCCCTTTATTCTAAAACAGACTCTAATTTATTACCAATTACTTCAGATTACATGTATTTATATTCCTTCAATTTACGCTATGCCTTTTATCTAGGGCTTACTGTCTTACTTTCCACCACAGCAGTGGGCCACATTGTGGTAATTGTAATCGGACATGATACCCTCGTTGATTTCCTTAATAAAGAAATAATGAGGATATCCCAATACCCCTGCAAGGATAACATTGATAAAGGACCCTCCCATCAAGTGAAGGACAAAACTAATGGCATAGGCAGAACCAGCAGTGGCCACAGCCCACTTTTTGAATTTAAGTGCGCCAAAAATGCCGCAACCATGCATGGCCATGGACAATACCAAAAAGGCGTCCGTCATGGCTTCGACCATTTCCAGATAACCAGAATGCAATGCCTGTTCCAAGTTTGCCTTTTCTTCCTCCGTCATGTCTTTCTCGACTTCGTCGGGGTTGTTAATGATGAAATTGAATCCCACATTCACAACCAACAACACAACCAAGTTAATCACTATGCTAATGACATTGACTACCAAGACTGCCCGGCGAGTATCACAGCAATAATTGCAATACAGATGTTGTTCGTGTTCGCCAGTAATACCAGTGGCATGAGTGGCGTTATTGTTATGAGCCGAAGACATGCCAAATTCGGATGGTGGAACCTCAGGAGAGTACATGGGGACTTCCAAGTCCGCACTTTCTTCAGTAGCGACGGGGAGGAATGCTTCTTTGCTGACCATGGTCTTTTCTTTTTGTAGTTTTAAGCTAGTGCAGCAGCAGTCCAAACCAAGATCAGACCGCATATCGTGGAAAGTCCGTGGCCGTGGTAGAGAACGCTGTGATCGATCGAGTCGGATACCAGTTTGACTTAATCGACTACACATCCAACCGAAATTATACTACAAGAGGCAAGGCCTCCATCTTGTACGATAAGACCTGGTTTTGGTTACAAATCTTGACATTTTAATATGGAATATTGCTTAATCTACATAGACTAGAGGTATACACAACAAAAGTTGCAAATTTCGGTCTAGAATACATGGAATTTCGAATCATTCAATCAAGGCTCCTGAAATGTTGGGAACGGGTCAACAGAAAACCAGACCAAGGAATCTCATTTCTGCCGCACCATTGAAAAAAAACACCCAAAGTCGATACATATAGGTATATTGATCACTTTTGTAGTGGTCCTACCATGTCTGGTTACCGACACGGCGACTGGGACACATTCCTGGGAAACTCTGGATTCAATGCCAAATTGACCACCCAGGTCAAGTAGCTGCAGCTCAATCACTTCCACCTTGAAATCTCCCATTCCAAGGTACCAAAACTTGTTAGATATACCCATGGACGAATAAAATGTGTCAGAATAAAGAAGATTGAGGAAATTAGGTCAACAATTCGACAATTCCAGAAATTTCAACAAACTTACATTTTTTTGACACCAGTTTGGCCACATGATTATTGATCTAGGACGAATCATTGCCTTGGTCCCGAAAGATCTAAACTTTAGGCATCCAAGGGAGACCCTGGTGTGTTGTTGGATGGATAGCTGTCTAAATGGCGGCCAGGGGGACCTCCAGAGTGGCAGAGAACCGACAGCACAAAGGAAGGAAATCGCAAAAATCTTTCCAGATTAAACAAAGAAAGTGAACCAGTAATGCTCTGCCGTTGTATCAGATACCAACATATCATAATATACCTTGGGGCTCGGCGATCTCTGCATGTGTGCCCTTCTGTGGACCCCAAAGGGCAAGCTGACCGAAACAGTTCCAACCACCGCTTGTTGATTGTGGCATGATTGGGGTAAAAATTAAATTGAATCACGGCTCATGGCGTAATATATATATCAAAAGTGCCTGCCGTAGCATCTGAATCCACCTATTCTTCTTGTGGGGCCCATGCCATGACATAGATGTGTTTTTGACAAATTTTGCCACTTGATGAACTCGATGGAGAATATGCACAAAGAATCCTTGATATCGATCACCAGATGATTCCAAGACCTTCATTATAACGCCAGAAGCAACCTCTGCTGGAATTTTCAAGTACTTGGTGCCTTGAGACTTCGTGGGCTCCCAAAACCATAACAATTCTTCGTTTTGGACGTTGATGGTGGGCTTCAGAGGTCATTTTGGGGACCAAAGAAACAAACGAGGCCAGATCACGTCATAGAAAAAGGATAGCTTATGTAAAGATACAGCTACTGTCAGCTGTGCATCAATTTTCTTGCAGTCGGTGATGACTGTAAGTGCCTCAAAGCTTACCATCGTGGTGAAATCAAATTCATCATCCTTTTTGGTGGATTTTGACCGTTTGGATTCATCTCACATCTCCACTTTTTTCGATATTATACTAGTGTGATGTGTTAGGAAGCGAATTGTGCGAAAAAGTGGAGATGCCCGATGTTTTGTTGATGTCAACAAGGGGTCGGAAGGTTGATGATGAAAATGGCGATTTGTTGTTCTGATGGATTGGTACAAGATCCACAAAATTCTACGAGGGCGCGCGAAAAAATTGAAAGTACTATTTTAGGCTGAGTAGATGACGTGGCCTACCAGTTTTACGTATTTCCACCACATGTTTCAGAATTTTGATTTGGACTGTAGGATGTGATTGAGGTGTTCTTGTTTGAAGAATGTGAACGACACGAGACGACCACGACCCAACAATGCTACGGGAAATCCCCGTGGGTGTGTTTTGATGTTGGGTGATGACAAAGGAAAAGACGTAAAACCTTGCTGTCTGAAAATTAATTGAATTGTGTGCGAAAACATGCACGTAAACGATCGCTAGCATCGCCAACGTTCACCAACGTTCAATTTGGCGTACTAACCGTCGTTCCGTCTGTCTGCCTGACGTTATAACACTCCTCTCAAGCTGGAAACGCGCTAAAGCGTAACAGATTGCAAAATGGGGCGAGGACTTTGCTCAGACTTGGACAAACAGTAAAATACAAGGTTTTCGACGAAGTACGTGGTTCGGTCAGGGTCGGAGAGACCTACATCCACCAGTACACAGATACATCGAATCACACATCGATCAGTATCATAGATATATCGAAAAACATATCGATCAATATCAATTAGTTATG